TGGACTGCAGTACACTCTTTGGCAACATTTGACAAAGGTCGGTGAATTGGTTCTGTCCTATCACTGACATGCTGGCCCCAAGGTCCACTATCCCGTATGTTCCCTGTGAGACAAAGTTGATACTTTCCTCCGACAACTGCACCCTCACGGTGGCTAGTTCATGGTTTTTGCTCAGGGGGTCGCAAGTTGAAACCGATTTCTCACTTTCCTGTCGACTCCTGCACATGTATGGAAGGCGGGCAAGAAAGGCTGGCTTGCATTTGGACAACACCCTATTTAACTCATGAACATGATATGTCCTATGATCATGTTGTGGACCCTTTTCATGGTATGCGGCAGTCATGAGGCATGTCTCCTCCATCATGAAAGCAGTGGCTTCCGGTGGAGGTGCATCAACATCTTCAGGTGCATGGTCATATGGCGGCGGCTGAGCCATGGTGGAAAACACTGTCATACCGGCGAATGCCGTGTTGTTGGTTCCAGGAACATTGGACTTTGTCCTTTGTGGACATTCGGCTTTCCAATGTCCAGGTTGATTGCAAAGTCTACACGTCGATTCCAGGATTCTCTGTGCTAGTGGCTTTCGGAATCGGTTCTTGAAACCACCTTTGAATTTCCCTTTTGATTTCCCTTTTGAACCCTTGTTTCCAAAGAACCCACGGGCTTTCACCTTTTCTGTGACTCTTTTCCGCGCTTCCACATAGCTATTGAGACATGTTGCAACTTCTGGGTCATTCTGCAACGAGTCCACTAAGGCCTCTTCGAACTGGGAGATGATGAGTGCATCCTCGTCCCCTTCTGACAGAAGGGTCTCCAAACCAGCATCCTCAGACTGATCCAGAGAGACAAATGCCGTTTCATCCATCTCTTCATCTTCGCGATCACCATCATCGACATGGAAAACATCATAAGTTTTGGTTCGGGGGTTGTTGCGTGTCCCACCCGACTGCACTTCGGCAAAAAACTTGGATCCAAGCAGTTGCAGAGAGTCTACGACCTTCTTGTACTCGAGATTACCCTGTGCGTCTATGATGATCTTTTTGTCTTCAGCCAACAGTCCAGAATTACGAACCAAGACATAGGCCCGCATCTCCTCCAGAGTTGTGCCCATGTTGACCAACTCCTCGAACTGTATCTCATGACGAGCCAAGTAGCTCGAATGCGTTTCATCGCTCTTCTGGACTGTTCCATAAAGAGCCCTCTCAAAACGTTCATACTTGGTCTCCAGTTTCGATTGGCCCCATACTCCTCCAAGGGTCTGTACGACCAGCTTGATGCCGTCAATGGTTTGAACCTTCAACTTCGTAGGGTCCAGTCTGACGACTTTCTGGAATGCAGTTCCTTCACAAAGGAGGCATGCTCTGGGTGCCAATTGCGCTAAGTGCTCAACTGGCCAAATATTGGCCAAGAATTCCAGTCGACGTGTGTAGTCGTTGATGTCGGTATCGCCAGGTTTGAACGGCGGGATCAGATGCCAAGGCAGCTGGTTGCCACTTGTCTGGCCACCTGCTGCAGGGTGTTGACTTTCCCCCGCACTTCCGTCCATCCCCGGATCTCACTCACTTCCGCTGCTTCTTGTCCTCCTCCAGTTCCACGAAGTAGCGGTGAGCCGCAGCTCCGCTACCAGTATTAAACTGGTAGCAGAAGTCTATCCACCTCTAAGGTTGTTGTGGGGCCTCCCGACCCAAGGAATACCACCTCCTGATGGTGCTACAAGTCTGTTATACCAATGACCACCTGATCAAGCCACCCCTATGGCGCGCCCAACGTCAAAGGGCTTTTTGGTTCCACCTGCGACCCCCTGATCGATCCTGAGCCCTGTACAGCCACACATGTATATGTGCGTACCCTGCAACTGGCAATGTGACAGCTGGAACTGTGGAAATCACAACATATACATATACATATACATATACATATACATATACATATACATATACATATACATATACATATACATATACATATACATATACATATACATATACATATACATATACATACATGCTGCATGCATGCATGCATGCATGCATGCATACATACATACATACATACACACACACATACACACATACACGCATCCACACATACACAGATACACAGATACACAGATACACAGATACACCAATAGACAGACAGATAGATAGATAGGTAGAAAAGTAGGTAGGTAGATAGATGGATAGATAGATGGATAGATAGATGGATAGATGGGTAGATGGGTAGATGGATGGATGGATAGATAGATAGATTGATTGATAGATTGATAGGTTGATAGATTGATAGATTGATAGATTGATTGATAGATAGATAGATAGATAGATAGATAGAGAGAGAGAGAGATAGAGAGATAGAGAGATAGACAGGTAGACAGGTAGGCAGATGGACAGACAGACGGACAGACAGATAGACAGATAGGCAGATAGACAGATAGACAGAGAGACAGACAGATAGACAGACAGACAGACAGGCAGACAGGCAGACAGGCAGACAGGCAGACAGGAAGGCAGGCAGGCAGACAGACAGAGAGACAGAGAGACAGAGAGACAGAGAGACAGAGAGACAGAGAGACAGAGAGACAGAGAGACAGAGAGATAGAGAGATAGAGAGATAGAGATAGAGATAGATATAGATAGATAGATAAATAGATATAGATAGATTTAGATAGATATAGATAGATATAGATAGATATAGATAGAGATAGATAGAGATAGATATAGATCGAGATAGAAATAGATATAGATAGATATAGATAGATATAGATAGATATAGATAGATAGAGATATATAGAGATAGATCGAGATAGATAGAGAGAGAGAGATAGAAATAGATAGAGATAGGTAGATAGACAGATAGATGGATAGCCAGACAGATAGGTAGATCGATGGATCGATGGATTGATGGATTGATGGATGGATGGATGGATTGATTGATTGATTGATTAGATAGATAGATAGATAAATAGATCGATAAATAGATAGTCCGATCGATAGAAAGATGGATAGATAGGTAGATCGATTGATGGATTGATTGATTGATGGATTGATTGATTGATTGATTGATTGATTGATTACATAGATAGCTAAATAGATAAATAGATCGATAAATAGATAGATCGATAGATAGATAGATGGATAGATAGGTAGGTAGATAGATAGATAGACAGATAGATAGATAGATAGATAGGTAGGTAGATAGATCGATAGATAGATAGATAGATAGATAGACACACACACACATACATACATTAGTAAAGGCCTCAGTAGTGTATTTTGTTGGTGAATTTGAACATCTATCTAACAACGGTATTTGCTACTGTCTCAAGATCTAGATCGAATACTAAATCTGCACCACTCACATATTGATTTAACAATAGGTCAGCCTCTGCTTTAGTTTCTAGTTGCGCTTCCCATCGAATCAATCATCCCTTTTTCAGCGATTGTTTCCTGCTGTCGGAGGTTTTCGGTAGCAAAGGATGATATCCCTCTCTTCCGCATCGCTGAAAAGGCGGCCAAACATGTTGCAGCGCATGTCACAAAGGATTGTGTGCTAGAACATACATGCACCAGTTTCTGATCCGAAGGCAACCTCTTGCAAGTCTGCTTTTATTTGGTGAAACATTGGATGAACAAATAGCAATGGTTGCTTGGTCAGTTGAAGTGGGCATGATGACTGTTTGTCCGTTTTCTTGTCATCAGCCAGTGGCTTTAGGGTCTGATGAAGCAGTACAAAAGCTACGTTCCAACAAAGGCGACCCGGCTGGACTAATTCCTGTGGGGAGTTGACAGCTCTTCTGTCGAGACTGTGCGAGAATCTACACCGTACCACCCAGCTTGCAATTTTATGGAAGCTCTGCCAATGGAGGAAGTAGCAGCGTAGCAGTTCCAGATAGTTCCAGTCTACAAGTGATGCTTCAGCAATTGCCAGCACTAGGATACCCCCCATTCGCATCACTTAGCATCACTTTGCCACCATTCTGCGGCACTTTTTTTGGGCCACCATCTGTTGCCGCTTTTTCAGCCGAGATCCGACTAACGGAAAAGAATGAGATTCGCCAGTGGGTTTGGAAAGGGTTTGCAACTTAGAATCCGGGAGGATCCTGGAAGATCTCTTTTCGGAACTGGACTTTTGCCTCGAGATTACTATGATTACAACTTGCAGCTGTGAAAAATTCACACACTTTTCAGACGTGCAGAAAATTTCTGCCTTTTTTTAGCCATGACATCTTGCATTTCAAGTGGATGCGAACTCATGTGACACCTAGGGACCTGGCTTCTTTATCATACTTGTAGCGACAGTGTGGCAAGTGGGAAGTCAATGTCTCCTTAGCTGACAACAAACTCACCTGATTTTCCAGGTTGGTGAACTTCACTGAGCTGAAGTTGAAGCCAGAAAACCCAGTCGCAGTTCGGAACATCTCCAAGGGCGTCCAAATGTTTGCTTTGCCAATAAATAAAGGGGACAGAGTCAGGCTCAGTATCCTGGCTGGTTGGTGGTTTGGAACATTTTTTTTTCCATATATTGGGAATTTCATCATCCCAACTGACTTTCACTCCATCATTTTTCAGAGGGGTTGGTATACTCAACCACCAACCAGCGACAAGAGTCTAAGAGCTGAGGCAACGATAAGAGATTGGGCCCACCCTGCGACAAGGCTTGGATGGATGTCCAAACAACATCCCAAGTACTTCGACGACGAGAAGCCGGGCGTCACGACCCTGGTGACCCTGGTGGAGCCCGGATCTCAGTGACTCAGTGCCGTGCCTGTGGCCTTCTGTGGCTGCGCGGCTTGGGGCTTCAAGAAAATCCAATCCCAATACAAAACATTCCAAAATGGATCCAAATGGGGGATGGGATTATTTGAATTTGAAGTAAAATCATGTCACTTATCTCTCGATCCCTCCCTCTCTCCCGCTCAGTCTACTCTGGATTCGAGCTGCCTTTGAGATGGGCGGTAAGATGTGGTCAGTCAGATTTCTACTCCCAGGGCTTCGCCAAACAAGGAAACCTTTCGAGGATTTGCTCATCGATTTGGCCCATGCCAGCCCTTCTAAGGCTCCAAATGGGTCAGAATTCAGGTCCAAGGTGGCTACGTGAGCAGTGTTTGAAACATTAAAGAAACACATACAGGATGGTGCCCCCCAGTTATAAGTTGGTTTATAAACCCCATTAACTATAGTTATATCTGCCATAAACCATAGTTACTGAGTTATGTTCACCAACTTAGCTAACTATGGGGCACCACCTTGTAGGGTTCATGGTTCTTTTGGGTCACGCGACCAGCCTCATCAAGTAGAATTGACATGATAAATTATCAACTTACGGGCAAGGAGAGTTGATTTTTGAGCACATCTAATGATTCCCCCCTGACATCCAATAGATACACCAGGGTTTCTGAGGTATTGAACATTTTTCAATGTTAGGAAGGATTTTTTTTTTTCGAATCATCTGCTGGTGAAGCTATGTTATGCTATGTTGTTGGTCAATGCCATGTCCACATGGTGCAGCAACTGCCCTGAGCCATGCGAACTTTGTGGTTTCTCCAGAGGTGTACCATGGTGTACCTCTACCCGACTTGCACGAAACATGATGGGGAAAAGTGGGAACATGATGCTAAAAAATTGTTCTTGGGGTGACTATATGCATTGTTAAAAAGATTATATATATATATACATAGTAATATATATATATATATACATTATATATACATTATATATATATATATACATACATATATATATATACATATCTGGGTAAATTGTAACGACCTCACTACAACCTCACTGGAATCATGGTTAATAAGGGAAATCATCCCCAAATAGCCTTATCTCAGGTTAGTGAAATATTATAATTTACCTATATATATATATATGTATACATATTATATATCCATCCATAGCTTCCCTGGGAAAACCTATAGCTTCCCAGTCGGAGCTTAACTGGCTTCCCAGGGCCAGTTGTTTACGGGCGAGCGGGCGGGCGCCAAAGAAGAGGTGCCTTGGCTTTTCTGCGAGGGTCGTTACCATGCAACATTTCTATAGATTTCTGGCATAATGTGGGTAAAACAATGCCATAAACCACCCATGACTGGGAATGGTAAACATACCACCATTTTGAAAATGGTGATTTTTCTGGGGGATGGTAAACATGGCATTGTTTTACCCACATTATTCAACTTCAGAGTTGGTCTTTGTCAACAAAATGTTGGTGACAATTTGGAATGGTTTTCTCTGTGGATCGTGGTGGTAGTTCAGGGCAGGGTGTCCCGGGAAGGGGTGGTCCAGTACCAAAATGCATCGGACATTACCTTGGTGGACCTAAGTCATTGTGATTGAAGACATTTAGTTATCATTCAATTGCTTTATTTCTTGATATTTCTTGTGATCCCCACCAAATGACGTATATATATATATATATATATATATTCTGATTTTGTCTACAATTACATTCCGAGATTCTATTTGCCATTGCATTTGGCATTCTATCTGGCATTTACTCTGACATTCTATTTGGCATTTGTTCTGACATTCTCTCTGTCTGGATCTGGGGGAGCGAGAGCAGACGATGAAGGAGCAGGACATGCTGACATAAAATCTAGAGACCCTCACCTGGCAGGTGGGGGAAGACAAAAACAATATAGCAATGTGTGTATATGTATATATAAAAATATAATATGGTTTCAAAACTTTGGAGTTTGGCGGGAGGCCAGGGCCAAGAGTGTGGAATTCATTTTCTTGTTTTCTCAAGGGTTTGGCCACTTTCCCGACCGCCCAAAAGCATCCATTCAGCACGGAAAAGGCAAAACACCCAGAGTGTCCAACATCATATCTACTCACCAGCCTTACTTCATGGGTCTTGCCTTTGTGTAGGGCGGGCTTTCTCATGACGCCACCCGCTACCAAAAATGCCCAAAACGATTAAAACACACATGCACACACACATAATGCAGACATCATTGAGAGAATTCAGAGACATGGGTCATGGGTTGTGCAATTTTGATCAATTTAGTGTATTTTGTGTCTTTGTTCAAAGCAACATCCTTCTGTGTGTTATTCAGAACACATATATATATATATATATATATATATTACGAAAGCCAGCCGGGAAGCTGGCTAGTTGCTATTTGCGAACGAAGTGAGAATAGGGGGTCTGGCGGGGGGGGTAGTTGCCAAACGGGTCAAAAATCGGGAAAATAGGCGGTGATTTTAGTGAGAAAAAAGTATGGTTTTGCAGGGCAATGTACCAGGCGGCAAAACAGTGACGGTGGGTATCGATTCCCCCTAGGTCCGGTTTTTCGGGTTCAGTTAATGGACAGATAGATGGGCCAGCTAGTAAGAGTGCGGTTTTCTGGGCTCAGTCAATGGACAGATAGATGGGCCAGCTAGTTAGAGGAGATTGGAGAGAGAAGGACATTGGGTGAAAAGTATGTGCAAGAAGGGTTTCTGGGTGAAGAGTCTCTGGGTGAAAAGTATATGGGTGAAAAGTCTGTGCAAGAAGAGTTTCTGGGTGAAAAGTATATGCAAGAAGAGTTTCTGGGTGAAACGTATATGGGTGAAAAGTATGTGCAAGAAGAGTTTGTGGGTGAAGAGTCTCTGGGTGAAAAGTATATGGGTGAAAAGAATGTGCAAGAAGAGTTTCTGGGTGAAGAGTCTCTGAGTAAAAAGTATATGGTTGAAAAGTATGTGCAAGAAGAGTTTCTGGGTGAAGAGTCTCTGGGTGAAAAATATGTGCAAAAAGAGTCTCTGGGTGAAGAGTCTCTGGGTGAAAAGTATATGGGTGAAAAGTATGTGCAAGAAGAGTTTCTGGGTGAAGAGTCTCTGGGTGAAAAGTATATGGGTGAAAAGTATGTGAAAGAAGAGTTTCTGGGTGAAAAGTATGTGCAAGAAGAGTTTCTGGGTGAAGAGTCTCTGGGTGAAAAGTTTATGGGTGAAAAGTATGTGCAAGAAGAGTTTCTGGGTGAAGAGTTTCTGGGTGAAAAGTTTATGGGTGAAAAGTATGTGCAAGAAGAGTTTCTGGGTGAAGACTCTCTGGGTGAAAAGTATATGGGTGAAAAGTATGTGCAAGAAGAGTCTTTGGGTGAAAAGTATGTGCAAGAAGGGTTTCTGGGTGAAGAGTCTCTGGGTGAAAAGTATATGGGTGAAAAGTATGTGCAAGAAGAGTTTCTGGGTGAAAAGTATGTGCAAGAAGAGTTTCTGGGTGAAGAGTCTCTGGGTGAAAAGTATATGAGCAAGAAGAGTTTCTGGGTGAAGATTCTCTGGGTGAAAAGTATATTGGTGAAAAGTATGTGCAAGAAGAGTTTCTGGGTGAAGACGCTCTGGGTGAAAAGTATATGGTTGAAAAGTATGTGCAAGAAGAGTCTCTGGGTGAAGAGTTTCTGGGTGAAAAGTTTATGGGTGAAAAGTATGTGCAAGAAGAGTTTCTGGGTGAAGAGTCTCTGAGTAAAAAGTATATGGTTGAAAAGTATGTGCAAGAAGAGTTTCTGGGTGAAGAGTCTCTGGGTGAAAAATATGTGCAAAAAGAGTCTCTGGGTGAAGAGTCTCTGGGTGAAAAGTATATGGGTGAAAAGTATGTGCAAGAAGAGTTTCTGGGTGAAGAGTCTCTGGGTGAAAAGTATATGGGTGAAAAATATGTGCAAGAAGAGTTTCTGGGTGAAGAGTCTATGGGTGAAAAGTATATTGGTGAAAAGTATGTGCAAGAAGAGTTTCTGGGTGAAGAGTCTCTGGGTTAAAAGTATATGGGTGAAAAGTATGTGCAAGAAGAGTTTCTGGGTGAAGAGTCTCTGGGTGAAAAGTATATGGGTGAAAAGTATGTGCAAGAAGAGTTTCTGGGTGAAGAGTCTCTGGGTGAAAAGTATATGGGTGAAAAGTATGTGCAAGAAGAGTTTCTGGGTGAAGAGTCTTTGGGTGAAAAGTATATATATAGGTGAAAAGTATGTGCAAGAAGAGTTTCTGGGTGAAGAGTCTCTGGGTGAAAAGTATATGGGTGAAAAGTATGTGCAAGAAGAGTTTCTGGGTGAAAAGTATGTGCAAGAAGAGTTTCTGGGTGAAGAGTCTCTGGGTGAAAAGTATATGAGCAAGAAGAGTTTCTGGGTGAAGATTCTCTGGGTGAAAAGTATATTGGTGAAAAGTATGTGCAAGAAGAGTTTCTGGGTGAAGACGCTCTGGGTGAAAAGTATATGGTTGAAAAGTATGTGCAAGAAGAGTCTCTGGGTGAAGAGTTTCTGGGTGAAAAGTTTATGGGTGAAAAGTATGTGCAAGAAGAGTTTCTGGGTGAAGACGCTCTGGGTGAAAAGTATATGGTTGAAAAGTATGTGCAAGAAGAGTCTCTGGGTGAGAAGTATATGGGTGAGATGTCTGTGCAAGAAGAGTTTCTGGGTGAAGAGTCTCTGGGTGAAAAGTATATGGGTGAAACGTATGTGCAAGAAGAGTTTCTGGGTGAAGAGTTTCTGGATGAAGAGTCTGTGCAAGAAGAGTTTCTGGGTGAAGAGTCTCTGGGTGAAAACTATGTACAAGAAGGGTTTCTGGATGAAGAGTCTCTGGATGAAAAGTATATGGGTGAAAAGTATATGGGTGAAAAGTATGTGCAAGAAGAGTTTCTGGGTGAAGAGTCTCTGGGTGAAAAGTATATGAGCAAGAAGAGTTTCTGGGTGAAGAGTCTCTGGATGAAAAGTATATGGGTGAAAAGTATGTGCAAGAAGAGTTTCTGGGTGAAGAGTCTCTGGGTGAAACGTATATGGTTGAAAAGTATGTGCAAGAAGAGTTTGTGGGTGAAGAGTCTCTGGGTGAAAAGTATATGGGTGAAAAGTATGTGCAAGAAGAGTCTTTGGGTGAAAAGTATGTGCAAGAAGGGTTTCTGGGTGAAGAGTCTCTGGGTGAAAAGTATATGGGTGAAAAGTATGTGCAAGAAGAGTTTCTGGGTGAAAAGTTTGTGCAAGAAGGGTTTCTGGGTGAAGAGTCTCTGGGTGAAAAGTATATGAGTGAAATGTATGTGCAAGAAGAGTTTCTGGGTGAAGAGTTTGTGGGTGAAAAGTATATGGGTGAAAAGTATGTGCAAGAAGAGTTTCTGGGTGAAGAGTCTCTGGGTGAAAAATCTGTGCAAAAAGAGTTTCTGGGTGAAGAGTCTCTGGATGAAAAGTATATGGGTTAAAAGTATGTGCAAGAAGAGTGTCTCGGTGAAGAGTCTATGGGTGAAAAATATGTGGGTGAAAAATTAGTGCAAGAAGAGTTTCTGGGTGAAAAGTATGTGCAAGAAGAGTTTCTGGGTGAAGAGTCTCTGGGTGAAAAGTATATGGGTGAAAAGTATGTGCAAGAAGAGTTTCTGGGTGAAGAGTCTCTGGGTGAAAAGTATATGGGTGAAAAGTAGGTGCAAGAAGAGTCTCTGGGTGAAAAGTATATGGGTGAAAAGTATGTGCAAGAAGAGTTTCTGGGTGAAGAGTCTCTGGGTGAAAAGTATATGAGTGAAAAGTATGTGCAAGAAGAGTTTCTGGGTGAAGAGTCTCTGGGTGAAAAGTATATGGGTGAAAAGTATGTGCAAGAAGAGCTTCTGGGTGAAGAGTCTCTGGGTGAAAAGTATGTGCAAGAAGAGTGTTTGGGTGAAGAATCTGTGGAAAAAGTTCAGGGGTGAAAAGTATGTGCAAGAAGAGTTTCTGGGTGAAGAGTCTCTGGGTGAAAAGTATATGGGTGAAAAGTATGTGCAAGAAGAGTTTCTGGGTGAAGAGTCTCTGGGTGAAAAGTATATGGGTGAAACGTATGTGCAAGAAGAGTCTCTGGGTGAAAAGTATATGGGTGAAAAGTATGTGCAAGAAGAGTTTCTGGGTGAAGAGTTTCTGGGTGAAAAGTATGTGGATGATAAGTATGTGCAAGAAGGGTGTCTGGGTGAAGAGTCTCTGGGTGAAAAGTATGTGCAAGAGAGTTTCTTGGTAAAAAGTATATCGTGAAAAGTATGTGCAAGAAGAGTTTCTGGGTGAAGAGTCTCTGGGTGAAGAGTCTCTGGGTGAAAAGTATATGGGTGAAAAGTATGTGCAAGAAGAATTTCTGGGTGAAGAGTCTCTGGGTGAAAAGTATATGGGTGAAAAGTATGTGCAAGAAGAGTTTCTGGGTGAAAAGTCTGTGCAATAAGAGTTTCTGGGTGAAGAGTCTCTGGGTGAAACGTATATGGGTGAAAAGTATTTGTAAGAAGAGTTTCTGGGTGAAGAGTCTCTGGGTGAAAAGTATATGGGTGAAAAGTATGTGCAAGAAGAGTTTCTGGGTGAAGAGTCTCTGGGTGAAAAGTATGTGGGCGAAAAGTATTTGCAAGAAGAGTTTCTGGGTGAAGAGTCTCTGGGTGAAAAGTATATGGGTGAAAAGTTTGTGCAAGAAGAGTTTCTGGGTGAAGAGTCTCTGGGTTAAAAGTATATGGGTGAAAAGCATGTGCAAGAAGAATTTCTGGGTGAAAAGTATGTGCAAGATGAATTCTGGGAGAAGAGTCTCTGGGTGAAAAGTATATGGGTGAAAAGTATGTGCAAGAAGAGTTTCTGGGTGAAGAGTCTCTGGATGAAAAGTATATGGGTGAAAAGTATGTGCAAGAAGAGTTTCTGGGTGAAGAGTCTCTGGGTGAAAAGTATATGGGTGAAAAGTATGTGCAAGAAGAGTTTCTGGTTGAAGAGTCTCTGGGTGAAAAGTATGTGCAAGAAGAGTTTCTGGGTGAAGAGTCTCTGGGTGAAAAGTATATGAGTGAAAAGTATGTGCAAGAAGAGTTTCTGGGTGAAGAGTCTCTGAGTAAAAAGTATATGGGTGAAAAGTATGTGCAAGAAGAGTTTCTGGGTGAAGACTCTCTGGGTGAAAAGTATATGGGTGAAAAGTATCTGCAAGAAGAGTTTCTGGGTGAAGAGTCTCGGGGTGAAAAGTATAGTATATGGGTGAAAAGTATGTGCAAGAAGAGTCTCTGGGTGAAAAGTATATGGGTGAAAAGTCTGTGCAAGAAGAGTTTCTGGGTGAAGAGTCTCTGGGTGAAAAGTATATGGGTGAAAAGTATGTGCAAGAAGAGTTTCTGGGTGAAGAGTCTCTGGGTAAAAAGTATGTGCAAGAAGAGTTTCTGGGTGAAAAGTCTGTGCAATAAGAGTTTCTGGGTGAAGAGTCTCGGGTGAAAAGTATATGGGTGAAAAGTATGTGCAAGAAGGGTTTCTGGGTGAAGAGTCTTTGGGTGAAATATATTGGGGAACATAGGGATAGATGGGATGCTGGCTTTTGTTTCCCCGTTCTCAGGTATATATTATATATATCATGATATATATACATATATGTATATATATATATATATTCAAAGCGTATGGTATTCCATGAGTTCCTTGAAGAACATGTGATATACATACAAGAGTGTGTGTGTGTAATATTTCCTTCAACATACAATTTGAACCATTTCATGGTAAAGACCGCAATATTCTCTTAAGACAGTGGACCATTAGTCTAAACTAGAATCTTGAATGTATCAGGACTCTTTGGCAGAAAAAGGTAGCCCTTCAAGAATGTCTGCTATCATTCGATGCAACTGTATGCCTTTCCAAATGAGCCACGCATTTGAGTCTTGCCGAACAAAATTATTGCCATGTCAAGAAAAGGCAATCATTGGAGGAAGGCGGAACTTCTTCAAAAGGAATATTACATCTTTCATGATTCTTTTTGCTACAGGAACAGTGCTTGTTGAGAGGAATATTGTACTGTCTTGAAAGTTGGCAACCCGAAAAACACCCCTTTAAAGGATCATTTGTCTTTTTCAAAGAGTGTTTGATTTGCGAATTCACTACTGCACTTTTGGATAGAAACCCTGTCCGTCCAAAACACACATTGCATTTCGTGCACGGAAGTTTCCTTTTCCAAGATGATATTTGTGCCGTTGAAGGGAAACCGGATATGTTGAAACCAAGTCTTTACTTCTTCAACAGGAAAAGTCTAGAGGAAAGCAGGGTACTGCTTCTTCAAAAAATACATTTCTCAAACTAAGACTGCAATATATGAAACGCAAATTCTTCTTTAAAAAATGGGATATTACATTTTGGGATTGTATACTACACTTTTTTCAGGAATGCTGTATCTTTAAACGCATGGCATATTGTTGTACAGGCCGCTTGCCTTTTTGAAAGCGATCGTGGCATTGGAGACTGGATATTTTTTTTTTCGGAATGGTCTATATTTTGCACGGACAGCCTCCGGTCATCAAACGTGGCAATCGGAAATCTCATGTAAATATATGTTTACCCTCTGGTAAACTAACATAGCTATGGAAAGATCCACCATTTTTAATGGGAAAATCCACTATTTCGACTGGGCCATTTTCAATAGCTATGTTAGTCATAACCAGAGGGTAACGGGAAAGTCGGACCGATCTTGGAATTTCCATCGAAAAACGTTTGATTCCCACAGCAAGATGCTTCTTCAAACGACGCGTACGATTGCATGTTTGTATTGCGCCCTGCACCTGCTTGTAAGGAATACTGCTTGTAGGAAAGAAGGACACCTGAAAACATTTTGAAAGGAAGACTTCAAAAAAAAATCTGGGGAGTGCCTCTTGCTCATGGATCAATTGAACACTTGCTGTTTGTAGCTGCTTCAATCCAAAAGATTTAGAACAAACACGCAGGGCCACACTGGAGCAGGGAGCAGCTGATCCAACATTCTCTGGTTGCGCCTTTTGGGGGGCCCCACAGTCCAGTTCATCATCATTACCCACGAAAATCCAAGAAGAATAAAGGAGGATGTGGAAATCAGATGTGGAATTATTGTTTTCACTCACTCAAATCCAATACCCTCTGGTAAACATACAAAAAAACTATGGAAAGATCCACCATTGAAACAATGGGTAAATCATGGTAAATCCACTATAAATGGGTCATTTTCAATAGCTATGTAAACGTTTACCAGAGGGTAATCCAATAATCTGAGACACCGGAGCCGCGTCAGGAACTGCTTCACTTCACCCTGATGAAGTTCGAAGATCTTTTCCCTGACGATGAGGCGAGTCGTTGGTCGCTTGATGACTTAAGGATAAAAAAGGATCGGCAAATCACAGATCGAATCAGGCATTTCTGGACAGGGATTTTTTTCTGATACTAGAAAAAACCGGCAATCAGAGTGCAAGCGAATCTGCTTTTTTTTGGGATGTCGGAATTTCAAATTTCACATGCCACATTACCCGGCCTGGTAAACGAACTAACATAGCTATTGAAAATGGCCCCATTTATAGTGGATTTACCCATTGTTTCAATGGTGATCTTCCATAGTTCTCTGTATGTTTACCAGGCCGGGTAAATCCCATTAAATCCCATTAAACCACCATAAAACACCACAAAACCACCATTAAACCACCATAAAACCACCATAAAACCACCATAAAACCACCATAAAACCACCATAAAACCACCATAAAACCACCATAAAACCACCATAAAACCACCAGGGTAGCCTTCGAGCTGTTTTTTTTGTTTTCAGGAGCCTTGGTGGGAGGAGTCGGACAAACCAGCCGACAATGAGCGCAAGGCGAGGACTCCGAGGACGGAGTTCGAGGATCATATCACCTTCCTGTTCATATGCATATGTCATGATCTACACACACACACACTCTACATATATATATATATAATTATATATATATATAAATATGTACTGATACATACACCAAGTATAGATGATATATGATGATATGTGCATAAGTGGATATACAATGATATACATAGGTGCGTAGGTTTGAAGTTTGATTGATCATTGCGCGTGGTGCACATGCACTTGCTGATGTGCTAGATAACACATGATTAGATTATGCCTGGGTGTTTTTTCCACCAGTGTGGGAAAGTCACCTTGCGGTCAAAAGATTCATAGGAACGCCGATATCGCTGATATTTTTTTGTTTCTTTAGTTTTGCCGATTTTGTTGTCACTCTTTGTTTGTACCTTGGAGTTACAGAAACTCCATGAAACTTCTCCAAAATGATGACTTTGATGGGACGTCCACCGGACGTCCAAAGTTCTGCATGACTCCATGAGAGAGCCAGATATTGTACATATAATATCATATAATAATGTAATACAAATATCAACTATATCAAATTATGTAATATGATATAGACATGTATCTTTGTACAACTCTACTAGTGTACTATGTGTTGATAGTGTGATTGATCACATCATTTCAGCAGAGGCCAAGTTCTGACCAGGATCAGTGATCTCAACTGGATGATATATAGCCCTTTTTTTTGGCCATGGAAACCATGGAAAATGATGATTCCCATTTACATCACCATGATCTCCAAAGCCCCATTTCCAAAACCCGTATTGGAAATGATGATTCACAAAGGATTGTACCCACCCTGCCGCAAGCAGGTCATGTTTGATCACTCCGTGTTCTTCGAAGACAGTCTGGGCCTTTAGAAAACACCGCGCTTTGATTGAAGATGCGAAGATGTGTTGCGCCACCACGGTAGCTCATAGTTTGTCAATGTTTGTCATCCATTTCTTTTGTGGTGTATTTTTGTGCTTTGTATTCAAGTGGTTCATGTCCATCATTCTCGAGTCCGAAGAAGTTTGAACAAAGTCCGAAGAAGTCAGATTTTGGGATTAGAATTCGACCTGGTTAACAATCCATATTATATATATATAGCTTGCCGAGAAACTGACCGTTTTGTGGAGATGGGCTTGAGCTGATGGTCGGTGACCGACGCATCATCAGAATCATCAGCTTTCTTGCTCTTTTCTGGGCCTCTTGTTTCTGACATGCTCCAGCCACCAATTTCAAGGTCACATCAGCCTGTTTTGAGCATAAAGGGAATCATACTTCCTATATTTCCTATTTACTCTGCTTTTTCTCATCGATATGGGCTTATGTTACAAGCTCTTAAAGCTGCGCAAACTTGCTTCCGCCTGCGGAAGCCCAGTCAGGCGGAAGCAAAGATGGTGAGTTCGTGCATCGTCGTTCGTGGGGGAGCCCAGGTGGCCATCAACGGGCATCAATGGCCATGAATGGCCATGAATAACCCAATTTGGTGCCTCTCAAAAAAGGGGGCAACTGGGCGGATCAAACCGTTCTTCCATGTTCCCTGAGGCAAAACCAGCTGATCCCTCAGCATGGCTACTATTCGCCTGATGCCTCAGCTTAACGATGAAGATGTCAGTGAAACAAGCCCAGTTGTAGCTGGGAGATGAAGGACTAGGAGATTCTAAGCTGATACATTTTGTTGGAAAATGCTAAGGGCATTTCACTGATAAGCAACTTTTGAGCCAGGACCAACCAGGCTTTATCACTGTGTTGCAGATTGGCTGAGCCCCAAATCTCAACCGAGGTCTTCCTGCTTCACACGTTTCCCAGAAGATACGTGACTTGACACGCAGGATTGCGGCATTCGGATCTGGCCAAGCGCTGTCCTACGTGTCCGCCATTCGAGTTTGTCCAATGGGCGGAGACCCCCGAATCCAGAGGTTAATCATATAATCATTTAGTTAATTTTTCTAGTCACACATGAAATCGCATTTTTTTTTGGGTTATATACATGTATATATATATATATATATACGGATATATACGGTATACCAGCTTTTACAGACACAGCTATTCCAATTCTGGCAAGGTTTGGGAAGAAACGCTACGTCCTCAAGAAACCCGACGACCCTGTGGAGTCTATCGCACGGGTGGAGATGAATGTGCCCCATTGGGATCTGGGGCGACTTGGGACGAGCATTGTAGCGAGACACTGCAACGGACATCCAAGATATCCAAGTCAGCTGCGTCGATCATTCTGATGAAAAATATATATTAACTATATATATATATATGTATGTATCGTGGGTCGTCATCGGTATGCCCGGTGAAGTGTTTAGACTCTCTCACATCAGGAAAGCAGGTTTCCTTTCAGTGGGATTTCGGGATTCAATCCCTGCTGGTTGTCTGGAAACAGCTTGATATATGATGATATACACAGTGAAGAAAGGGTACTCGGCTACTCTAAACGACCAAGTGCTGCCCAGAACATCTCAATACATGTCTATTTGCAGCATCATTCTGCCAACAATGTTTGATATAATTCCAGAAACTATTCAGATCAGAAGAGCTGGGAATTTCAAAGTGGTTTATGGCGTTCTGCCGTCAGCTACAGTGGCAGGTGCGCTTGAAGCATGTTCTGCCTCTGATGCGCTACACCAGCGATTTCAAGGTTCCAAGACGCATGACGTGGAGACATGGAGAGACATTGGCTGGTTGCAATATGTCGCAATCTAATTTAATCTAGTTTATATATTTGTATGGGATTATATGGGGAAGGACGACATAGGACGACCAAGGAGGTTTCTGGCTGTTTCTGGCTGTTTAGATTGTCAGACTTGTCAGACAGCGCAGTTTTGGTCGAGACTGTGCAATGGTGTCGATCTTGTTGCCCGGGAGTTCATTTTCTGAAATCATGTCTACATGAAAACTACGTGACATCTGCATATTAATTTCAATGGTTTTTTCGTTTACATCACGTATTTTACATCACATTTTTTTGCGGAGTTGCAATGTTCAGAACGATTCGGACTCCCTATGAATCCAATCGATCCATGTCCGTGAATCGAATTCCCCATCGAAAAGAAACTGAAGAAACCAACGCATTCATCGTTTTTGGGTGAAGTAGAACAGAACACCGGAATGTCTTCTATATTTCTATGAGTACAGGTTCAGATTGAAGGTGTTTAACCAGTTTCTTCATCATTTTTGGCCCGTCATGATCATAGGTTTGCAACATGATGTTGCACAATGTTGCCAGTTTTCATGTCTCAGAATTTATTTCAAATCCCCATTTCTGCCATGATCTTCACATGGTCAGTGTAATGTAATTCTACCTATTCAAGTAATGTATCATATATCTGGAATTTCAGTTTTTTTTTTTAGGCCTTATTTCATCTTATTTATTTCAGCCATTTTCAACTTAGTGAATCCCCCACGAAGTAGCGACTGGTTCATCTGGTTCACCGAAAAAATCCATGGTAGCCTGAGTTGCCAGGCCTGCGTGCCCATCAATAGTCTCGAGTTGCCTTTGAGGCCTGTTTTTATAGGTGGTTGACTGATGGGTTGACTGATGACGACTGGTGGATTTCCATGGATTTCAAGATGGCTGAAACTTTGAGAATGGGGGATCCCCACGAAAAAAACAAAAAAGCATTCTAATGGGGAAAGAATGATGAGACATCATCAAATTGAGGCGTAGCCGGCGTAGCTCATTTTCGATCAAACCCATACCTCATCATATCTAACTTACGGGTGTGGGTCATTTTTTCAGCACCTCTTCGAACGCTTCAGAAAAAATGATGGTAAATGAATGTAACCGACCCATCTACGAAGTCAATACTGTTCATATTAGGTATGGTCACTACAGTAGAAATTGGGCCCATTTCATGCAGAATAGGGCCACCTTTCTGTCCCCAGGTCTTCCTGCTACTCTACTAACTTCCCAATGGAACTTCTACCTACGGTCTTCATGCTACTCACAGAACGTCCAACTACTCTCTTCCTGCTCCGCTACTAAGTTCTTCACATAACTTCTAGCTACGCGCTTCATGCAACGCTACAAACTTCCTGACATTCATTGCTGAACAAACTTCTTCGTGCAAGTACGTCTTCCTGCTACGCTACGAACTTCCTGGACATAACTTCCGTCTACGCATTTCCTGCTACACGGTCTGCATTGAATAATTTTCCCAATCGTTTGTCTTCTCAGAGCCATGTTCGCTGCTCTATTGCCTTGGCAATGGAGATATGTCAACCTCCATGCCAGCTTGAAGACAAACCATCGAGACCTTGAAGCGTATCCTCTGAAAATATGCTATAATATGCTCATTGTCGTACAGCTGAAGCGACCGATGAATGGACCCCAGTTTTGGCACAACTTTATGTCCAGGAATTCGCGTTTAGCCATGGTGAGAACCTCTGTTTGCAAAAAACGACGTGCATTTATGAGCATGGTTTCTGGTCTGCTGGGATATTTGTCTCAAAGTTGCGCTTTTGCTAACCGGCACACTTTTTTCTTTGCTGTGTATCTCTGTATCATTTACAGCTCGCTACGGCTTTTTGGGGACGGAATCACGCAGCTTTTGACCGAAAGGTCGAACTTGCAAATCATCCTGAAGGAATCCGGGAATGGTGAGGCCTCTGCTATCGAACTATCGAGTCATTTCTTAAGGACTGGTGATGGTGGACCTTACAGCGAACGAATATCAAAAAAGAACTTTCTTTCCAAAAGGTGCCAGAAATTGTTCGTGGTTTTCCAACATCCAGGTTCAGAGTGCTAGGAGGGAAGCAGGCTGAAGCAGTTTCGCCATTGCTTGGGATTCTTCACATTTCTTCACTGGAATGTCCATGATATGTAAGTTGTAAGTTGATGTAAGTTATTCCTCAGAGCGTCAACTGTCCAATAGGTCAGTTCTTCATAGCGGTGAAGCTGGCGCCATGCAACAGGATCCCCAAGAAACCTTTGAACACATTATTCGCTGAGTTTATCTCCGGCCAGCCATGATTTTTCCATATTTTTCCATATTTTTATATACCCACTGGTAAACTAACATAGCTATTGAAAATGGCCATTTATAGTGAGTTTTCCCATTAAAAATGGTGATTTTCAATAGCTATGTTAAATTACCAGAGGGTATTTGTCCATTTTCAATTATCATTCCTCAAATGTCATTGGCCGCTCGACCCATGTGGCCAGCAATTCAACTACACCGTGGACCGCTTGACGAATCTGATCAGTGCGCCAAGTGAATTCTTCGCACATGCAGAACAACACCCAATGTAAGCTAGTAGCAAATATATATAGAGTTTTATCAGTCTCCACACATTGCACTAGCCCGACGGAGAACAGCTGCTTCAGACATCTTTCTCATGTCAATGGATTTTGGATGATCTTTCTTTAAATGAAATACATGTCCGACAGGTCCGTGCAAGAGCCTTCCAAACGAAAAATGCGGTATGACAATCAGCTGAGAAGTTTCGTGAAGCTTTATCAAGAGTGAGAGCTGGATTCCACAGTAGAGAAAGTTTTTCTTTCCACAAGAATGTGGTTTTGGAATTCTTGAAGGCTAATGAATCCAGCTGCCAGGAGGATCTGGCAATATTTTGAATCTGAAAGAAGATGACGAGAGAGGCAAAATTATGCAAAAATCAGTCTTGTGAACTTGCAAGCGTTTTCATGGCTTGAATGGTGGGGAAAAGAAGCCAGATGTGAAAAGACATGTAGCAATCCAATTGTAATATACTTATTCAAACAGCGGCAGACTCTAAACGAAACCAATTTGCACTAGTCACTGATGGAGTTGTTAAAATTTTCGACCTGGGATGTGCAACAATGTTTGATCCATCAAAGTATTTCTGGGTTGAACATGGTCGAATGTTTGTGCTGGTGGTTTTAATTAGTTCTTGCTTTCAACCTCCGATTTGAAAATCTTGATTTCAATTAGTTCTTGCTTTCAATTATGTTATTCCCAACCCATATTTCAACGAACCGCATGAATTTTAGCCAATACGCTCTTTACAAAGTGAAAGGTTGGACACCATTTCCATCTCCAAGATTGACATGGGACATCCGTCAAAATTGGGGACGAACATCGAATTGGTCGCTATCCCTTCAGCTGCAACTGAGGAGCAAAACAGGCATCGTAAAAACTGGAGGTTTCCGTTTCGTCATGGGGGTATCCCTAAATCATCCATTTCAGATTGGAATTTTCCCTCAAAAAAGCCATCCAGCAATGGGGCTACCCCCATGACGAGTTGGAGTTTCCGAGGTATTGGAGTTTTGGCGTCCAAACCACCAGGACCTATTTGTGCCTTGGTTACTTCAGCAGAAATCCAGGCGTGGTTACTGGTACTTTCCAAGAGTTTTTTGTGGTTAAAACAATAGTACACCAACCATCCCCCAAATCACCATAAATAGGTGGTATATGGTGGTATAAACCATTCCCAAATGGATAGTTCATGATTGTTTTAACATGTTTTAACCACATTGTACGAAAAATAAGATGGTATTTCTGTACACTAAAATCACCAAGCACCGGAATGATTCTTCTGACAATTGTTGAGGGAACGATTCAAACACGTCAAATACTGATTTATGGTTGGGTTTGTTGGGGTTGCTGAAGGGATGTTGGTTCACTACTCAGGGATTTTGCAGAGTTCCTCATGTTCAACATGCCTCAGTACACATGTTTCAACTTCTTTCTGATGGTGTAGCTTAAAATACCAAGAATTGCAATAGCAGGGAAATGAGATGAGTTGAATTTGGGGTTGCTCTACCAAAAAAAAAACCGACTCTGCCCACAAAAACCACCCATCACTAGATGATCTTGAAAAAACTCCACAGGGATGAGTTGGGACATCAGTACCAGCCCCGCCTGTTGCATGTGTGACGGGACCTGGGGGTCCCAGAGGCCCCAGGGGCCCCAGATGATACCCACCCCTCCCCATTTTTCTGTTTGTCCACCTTGATTCCTTGATGCATTTTATCAATTTTTATCTATGTTATCCATTTTATCTAGTCTTTTCCAAGACTTTTTTAGAATTGTGCAAGATCACTTGCCAACTCCTACAAGATTTCAACTCAGGTGCTGTCACGCTGTTGCTGCTGCAGTTGGCCGGGGCCATGCGGGGTCCAATGGGAAGACCAATTTCAAACAGCATCCCTCGTCTGTCACTGTTTGAAAATGGGGTAGACTGATAAAACGGCAGTTTTAATGGGGACAATCCTAGTATATGATCGATCATTAAAAATGTGATGCTCTATTTGCAGAGAAACCCAAATCTAGAAGAAACAGCGGGGCTGGGAACGATGCAGATGTTGCTCACTTTCCCTCGCTGTTCTCTTGCAACTAGACTGCGGCGTCATGGCCTTTGAGCTGTTGATGACATATTCTGGTTGGTGGTTTGGAACATTTTTTATTTTTCCATATATTGGGAATGTCATCATTCCAACTGACTTTCGCATATTTTTCAGAGGGGTGGCTGAACCACCAACTAGTGATACAATGCAAACATCCATGAATCCATGGATATCCATGGCATTTCATTGGTCGCTCCCTGGGCCCATCCATTGCCTTATCCCTATGCTTCCGCCCCAAAATCTGGAGAACTTCTCGGTCAAGGGGGCTTGATCATGAGAAATTTTGATGGATTGGTTTAAGGAAAATTCCGCAGGAATCCTGTTTTTTCCTCCCCTGAAATATATGAGATATGTTTTTTTTTCCCTTTAAGGCATCCTTAGGCCAATTCTGGGAGCCGTTGAAAACTTGGAAGATTGAATGCCATGGAGCGAATAGCCTTTGGTAAACCATCTTTTCCAAGAATGCATCCAAAAACTAGCGTCTACACATGTCTAGACACTCAATGCCAAACTCGTTATATAAGTAAAGTGATGCCAGATATCCTTTGATATTCTCAACGTGGCAACTGAGTGCAACTGACTTCAACTGGTTGAGTGAGTTTTTTGTGAACCTTTGGAGAGTAAATAAAGAAATTCAGCAACCATCCCTGACCCTGTTACAAAAAAAACTAGCCCCAAACAGCTCTTTCCTAGCCACTGGATAGGTTATTTATATAGTCAGTCATATCCCATTATATCGCCTTTATCTCCCAGTAACATCACCATTTTGCTTGGTGATATCCCATTTTTTTCGTCCTTTTGCAAGTCTTTTCCTCAAGGTCAACTTTGCCAATCGCTTCTGGACCAACAAAGTCAGTGCGGAACAAGTGGCGAAAAGGTTAGAGCAGGAAGGCCAGGGTGGAACCGTCGATTGGGGCTACCCCGTTATGGCCGTTGATGGTTTATTTCATGGAAAATCCTGGATTAAAAAAGCGGATGATGATATAGGGTACCCACATTTTAGGAAACTTCCCAATTTCCTGTTTTGATCTGTTTTGAGGATTTGTGAAACACATCACTTGCAAAAGTACTATTGGAAATCTGTTGGATTGAACACGATTATTTACGGATTGAGAATTACGATTGGAGCGTCTTGGATCTTCAGATGATCTTCAACAACCCAGAGACAGTATTCATTGCCTAGATACTGTGGTTTTGCTCGTTTTGATTCGCTGTTCTTTCTACCCAAGGATGGTTGCAATACATAATCAAAGGAAGTTTAGGGGGAGAAACTTCCGTGTTACGGACTTTTAGAATGTCAGGGAAAGAGTTAGTCAAAGAAAGAGTTAGTCAGGGAAAGAGTTAGTCAAAGAAAGAGTTAGTGAAAGAAAGAGTTAGTCAAAGAAACAGTTAGTCAGGGAAAGAGTTAGGCAAAGAAAGAGTTAGTCAGGGAAAGAGTTAGTCAAAGAAAGAGATAGTGAGGGAAAGAGTTAGTCAAAGAAAGAGTTAGCAAAGAAAGAGTTCGTCAGGGAAAGAGTTAGTCAAAGAAAGAGTTAGTCAGGGAAAGAGTTAGTCAAAGAAGTGAGGGAAAGAGTTAGTCAAAGAAAGAGTTAGAAAGAGTTAGTCAAAGAAAGAAGAAAGAGTTAGTTAGCAAAGAAATAGTTAGTCAGGGAAAGAGTTAGTCAAAGAAAGAGTTAGTGAGGGAAAGAGTTAGTCAAAGAAAGAGTTAGCAAAGAAACAGTTAGTCAGGGAAAGAGTTTGTCAAAGAAAGAGTTAGTGAGGGAAAGAGTTAGTCAAAGAAAGAGTTAGCAAAGAAACAGTTAGTCAGGGAAAGAGTTAGTCAAAGAAAGAGTTAGTGAGGGAAAGAGTTAGTCACAGAAAGAGTTAGCAAAGAAAGAGTTCGTCAGGGAAAGAGTTAGTCAAAGAAAGAGTTAGTCAAAGAAACAGTTAGTCAGGGAAAGAGTTAGTCAAAGAAAGAGTTAGTGAGGGAAAGAGTCAGTCAAAGAAAGAGTTAGTGAGGGAAAGAGTTAGTCAAAGAAAGAGTTAATCAGGATATATGAGGTAGTCAAAGAAAGAGTTAGCAAAGAAACAGTTAGTCAGGGAAAGAGTTAGTCAAAGAAAGAGTTAGTGAGGGAAAGAGTGAGTCACAGAAAGAGTTAGCAAAGAAATTGTTCCCTCACTGTAAATGGGATTGCAAGTGGTGCTGGTGGAGGAGTTGCCGATGGAGTTTTGAAGGAAGTCTCGCACGAAATGCGTTTTTGAGAGATAGCAGATGCACGAAACCCTATGTTTTTCCGTACAAAGTCCGTCCCCGAACCTCGATGATCTACCTCTGCGGTGCGACGGTTGCGAGACGGTCTCGTGTGTGGTCGGATCATGCTCGGATCATGGGCGGATCATGCTCGGATCGGTTCCGCATTGTAAATGGGGTTTCAACTGTGTTTCGTCCATGTGCGGTCGACAGAATTCCATTGTGATTTGCAACTGTAGGATCGTTCCCTCACTGTAAATGGGATTGCAAGTGGTGCTGGTGGAGGAGTTGCCGATGGAGTTTTGAAGGAAGTCTCGCACGAAATGCGTTTTTGAGAGAGAGCAGATGCACGAAACCCTATGTTTTTCCATACAAAGTCCGTCCCCGAACCTCGATGATCTACCTCTGCGGTGCGACGGTTGCGAGACGGTCTCGTGTGTGGTCGGATCGGTCTCGGATCATTCTCGGATCGGTCTCGGATCGTTACCGCAATGTAAATGGGATTGCCAGTGGTGCTGGTGGATGAGTTGCCGATGGAATTCCATTGTGATTTGCAACTGTAGGATCGTTCCCTCACTGTAAATGGGATTGCAAGTGGTGCTGGTGGAGGAGTTGCCGATGGAGTTTTGGAGGAAGTCTCGCACGAAATGGGTTTTTGAGAGATAGCAGATGCACGAAACCCTATGTTTTTCCA